AGATTTAAAAACCCCTAGGGTCTGGGCCGACCTCACATGGAGGGGCAGAGTGTTCCAGAGCCTCGGGCCAGCTGCTGCGAAGGCTCGGTGCCCTCTGGTTTTGAGCCTGGTCTTGGGCACTACCAGCAGCAGCTGGTCAGCAGACCTTAAAGCTCTGGCTGGGGTGTAGCGCTGGAGGAGTTCAGCTATATAGGCCGGAGCCAGCCCAATTAGTGCTTTAAAAACAAATAAAAGGATTTTAAAATCAATTCTGAACCGAATTGGAAGCCAGTCGTTGTGTCTGAGGCCAGAATTGGGGTGATGTGGTCACGCTTTTTGTGGCCAGTCAGCAAACGTGCAGCTGCGTTTTGGACTAGCTGCAGCTAATTCGCTTTTTATGGAATAAATGTGTATACTTAGCTACTGTACACCACTGGCATGTATAAATAGAAATATGAAGTATTCCCATGATTCAATAAGCCTTGTTTGACACGTTGGCCTCTCTGTGAAGCTCGTCCTATAGAAATATATTCTCTCTGTGCTCCTTTAAACCCCATCCTGGGTTTAGTGTCATGCTCAATAAACCTCTGCTGTCAGAAGCATTTTGCTGAGTCGCTGTGGAGCTCTCTGACCCCCCTCCTTTCGAGAAAACAGCAAATGACTATAAAAGAGTAAACTCTGAGGATAGCTGCAGGGGTCTCACTCTTAATTTAATCTGACGATGCCCCCGCTTCATCATCTCTTGCCTCAGGTGCAGAAAATATATCATTAGATGGCCTGTTGCTATAAAACAGCCCTAGTTATGTTTATTTTGCATCCAGATGTTCCTGTATTTAATAAAACAAGAAGTGTTACGGCAGCGTGGCTTCAGAAGAGTGTAATTGGATCTAAAGAGAGGGTTTTTTTGTGAAGAGAGTCAACCCAAACAGACATTTTCACTATTTGATCAGCGAGTGATGAGTCAGCAAAAGCAACAGGGGGTCCGACTTGCTGTCAAGATTAAATAAAAACGTGTTATTAATGTGATAAAGTAACATATTTGTACTGTGAGGTTATTGGAACGTTTACATTTTGCAGCTGGTAAAGGTGGAGATAACAGGCAGGGAACGCAGGGATTTTAGCCTTTGCAGACCATTTACATGCACTAAAACATATATAGCACACTATAGGAAAGGGAGAAATCCATATAGCCTAATAGGGCCTCTTTAATGACTTTGTATGTCTCCAGGTATCCATTACAATACATCATAATTCATTCGTTGATTTATGTTTTGTATTAAAGGTGGGTTATGTAATTTATAAGCCACAGTTCATTTCACTCGCCAGTAAAATAATTGCATCCATGGGCTAGTGGTTTCTCCCTTTCTTCTTGAAAACAACACTTTTTTCATACATTTCCTATAATTGGCGTCATTTTACTGAGATTTTTTCACCAAGGTTTCAAGGTTCTTTATTTTGTCATACGAACATACTGTAGCTACAGTGTAGTAATGCCGATGAAAATCTTAGGTCACAGGCTTCTCCAACAGTGCAACACAATAACACAGATCAACAGAAAAATATTGTGCAAGTAAATAGTAAATACAAAACAAAGTGAAATAGTGAAATAAGAGTCTATATGCGAGTTATTGGAATATGATATATTAGAGAAATAGATAAATAATGACTAAGTAGCAGATGAATGTTATGGATGTTGTTTCAGCAGTTCAGTTGTTTAGCAGTCTTATTGCCTGTGGTATGAAACTGTCTCTGAATCTGGTGGTTTTAGTCAGGATGCTGCGGTACCGCCTGCCAGACGGCAGCAGACAGAACAGTTTGTGGCTGGGGTGATGGGGGTCTTTTATAATCCTGAGGGCTTTCTTCCTGAGGGCTTTCTTCCTGAGGCGCTGGGAGTAAAGGTCCTCCATGGATGGCAGCTCTGTCCTGGTGATGTTCTGTGCAGTTTTCACCACCCTCTGCAAAGCCTTACGATCGAGGTCGGTGCAGCTGCCGTACCAGGCCGTGATGCAGCCAGTCAGGATGCTCTCTATGGTGCACCTGTAGAAGGTCAGGATCCTCTCTATGGTGCACCTGTAGAAGGTCAGGATACTCTCTATGGTGCACCTGTAGAAGTTGCAGAGTATCCTGGAGTCCATGTTGAACCTCCTCAGCCTGCGGAGGAAGAAGAGCCGCTGTCGAGCTTTCTTGGTGATGGTGGTGGTGTGAAGAGTCCATGTCAGGTCCTCAGTGATGTGGACCCCGAGGAACCTGAAGCTGCTGACTCTCTCCACCGTAGTCCCATTGATGGCGATGGGGGCGTGTCCCTCTCTCTGCTGCTTCCTGTAATCCACAATCAGCTCCTTTGTTTTGCTGATGTTGAGATGGAGGTTGTTATCCTGGCACCAAGATGTCAGGTTTTCGACCTCCTCTCTGTATGCCGTCTCGTCGCCGTCTGTGATCTGGCCGATGACGGTCGTGTCATCAGCAAACTTCACGATGGTGTTGGAGCTGTGTGTGGCCACGCAGCCGTGTGTGAACAGGGAGTAGAGGAGAGGGCTGAGCACGCATCCTTGAGGGGCACCGGTGTTGAGGATCAGGGTGGAGGATGTGATGTTTCCCACCCTCACTGCCTGGGGTCTGCCCGTCAGGAAGTTCAGGATCCAGTCACAGAGGGTGCTGTTGAGCCCGAGGTCTCTGAGCTTGATGGCCAGCTTGGAGGGCACAATGGTATTGAATGCTGAACTGTAGTCAATGAACAGCATTCTCACATATGTGTTCGTCTAACAGCTACCGTACAGTTACGTCATACATCCCTTAAAAAATGTCAAACTCCTTTACAATCAACTTAACTACATCCTTAACCACATAAATAAGTAATGCATTGTTCTTAGAAAAGCCTCCCTATATTTAGCAGAGCCTACAGTTGTTGTCCTTTGATCCTTTCTCATGTGGACAGAAAAGCCTGTTTTGAATAATGCCTTCAGAAGCTGTGTGTTCATATGAAATGAAACATGAATAAACCATAACCACATACATTTAACACAGATGTTGTATGTAGCCGTTGATGCGTTGCTTTTAGACCACCTCTGCCTCATTGTGCTGTTCTTCACAGTTACTTACACAATGCCTGGTGGTGCATTGAATGGAAAAACAACATTATTGGTGTTTACGCATTTGGTTCAGGCTGACATAAAGTTGCTTTTGTTTGATCTTCCATTGCAATTAGAGTGCAGAGAAGATTTATACATACACTGTTTTTGTCTTGCGGGTCTTCTTCAACATTATTTATGTGTTCTTCTTTCAGTCAAACAAGAGATGTAGTTAAAAACAAGGATTGTACAGTTGACAAAATATGTTTTCCTTTGTGAGGACTACAATATATACCTGTGTTTCCTCTCTAAGTCTGATACTGTCCAATTTAGGTGGAATAAAAGTCACAGCACATCCCATGGACCGAATGTTTTATGATATAATAGAAAGATTTAAGCCTTGCATTCATAAAAGCATGTAAACACATTGAATACATGTATTTGCTGGCTATTCTTGATGTTCTGAGTTGCTGAATGGTCTCAAGTCTCCTCACATACCGTGTGAAGCAGGAAATATTTTCTTTAGAGACTAACATTGTTGTCTGACTGAAAGCGAATGCGTCATAGATTATACTGAAAGAGACCAAGTTAGTACAGTCTGTCCATGTCTGAAAAGAGAAGTGTTTATAGGTTTTGGTAGAAAGTGGTGGACCAAGATGAATCCACTAATTCTAGGCACTTATCTAATGAACATTGCTAATTGTGCAATACAGCTAATAAGCTACGATAGCTTCCTCAATTCTGGTTCGTCAAGATGGCTTTTCGTTTGGTCAAAAGTTGTACAAAACGTTAATGCAAATGTAATTGCATGAGCAAATGCACAAATCAACGCGATTCAACTAGAACTTAAATGCTTTGTGACCAGGTCCAAGAGATGGACTAGACACAATAATCATTCAAATGGATATAAGGTTTCTTCAGCCATTCAACGAGTACTTTGTCTGAGACATACTGACGCCTTTAAAACCTTCAAAGACTCACGTATATCAAGCTAAGGAGATAGATAGATAGATAGATGGATGGATAGATAGATAGATAGATAGATAGATAGATAGATAGATAGATAGATAGATAGATAGATAGATAGATAGATAGATAGATAGATAGATAGATAGATAGATAGATAGATAGATAGATAGATAGATAGATAGATAGATAGATAGATAGATGGATAGATGGATGGATGGATGGATGGATGGATGGATGGATGGATGGATGGATGGATGGATGGATGGATGGATGGATGGATGGATGGATGGATAGATAGATGGATAGATATAATTAAACCATGCAATCCTAAAAAGCCTGCATAGACACTGAGTAAATGTAATAATAATAATAATAATACATGTGATTTATATAGCGCTTCACAAGCAAGTAAAGAAGAAAAATAACAACAAAAGTAAAAAGTGCTAAACTAGGTGGAATAAGGGTGAAGGGTTAGTGGATTAGGAGTTGAAGGCAAGAGTGAAAAGGTGAGTTTTGAGGGATTGTTTGAATGAAGTGAGAGTGTTGACAGATCGGACGTGGCTGTAATGGTTGTCTTTATCAGGGTGAGCGAAGCAGGCAGGACCCAAATGCGGGAACAGATACAAGGTTTAACTGAAAATACCTTTATTTCAAGGCTACAAAATACACATACAGAGCAGAACTCTCTCCCCAGTGAACACATTCAATTTAGACAAGGAACTCACACCAACTGAAAGATGAACAGAACTTAAATACCAGCAAGAGTGATCACCAAGACAAGACACAGGTGGGGAGGGAGAAAAAACACAGGTGAACACAATCAGGCAATCAAACAGGAGGAAAATCAGGAGACAGGAAGTAAGAGCAGACATAACTAGGGGGGTGCACACCTTTCAGAATAAAACGGGAAAACAAAGACAGATCTTAATAATACAAAATAAAACACAGACAGATCGTGACAGTCTTTTCTTTTCTGTCCTACAGAGACGTGCTGTGTTGCTGAATGGGTGACAACATCTAGTCACCTCACCTGTGAACACCATCACATTGTGCAGGAGAAGTGGCCGTGATGTACCAGGAGGTGGCCTTCCTGGCAGGGAGCTCCGAGCACCAGTTCACCACCTTCCACTTCCAACCTGTGGAGAACAAGAAGGAGGTCCTGGCCAAAAAAGGTTTGTTCTACAAGCGAGCCAAGCTTCTTCTCCAGCCTCAGCCTCGACAACAAGATGGAGGAGAGATCGGCCTTTCTGACTGGGCGGCCATTATCAACGTCGGCGGGATCAAGTACCAAATCCCTTGGTCTACGTTGGACGAATTCCCTTTGACTCGATTGGGGAAGTTGCGAAGCTGCAGCAACGAGGATGAAATCATGGATTTGTGCGACGATTACGACAGCAGCCGAAACGAGTATTTCTTCGACCGAAGTCCGTCGGCTTTCCGCACAATCGTGTGTTTCTTAGCGGCGGGGAAACTGAGGCTACTGAGGGAAATGTGCGCCTTGTCGTTCCAGGAGGAGCTGCTCTATTGGGGGGTGGAGGAGAACAATCTAGACTGGTGCTGCCTTAGGAAACTGAGGCTCAGACAGGCGGAGTTCAAGGAGCAACAGAGACTGGAGGAGGAAGAGGAAGCAGAGCTAACGACGCCCCAATCCTGCCAGGAGAGTCCACAACCGCCTGAAATGGAGGCTCCAGAAGAGACTCGAGCGGGGGGATGCATGAGGAGATTAAGGGACATGGTGGAGAACCCACACTCTGGTTTACCCGGGAAGATCTTCGCCTGTTTGTCGGTTATATTTGTAGCCATCACCGCTGTGACGCTGTGTGTCAGCACCATGCCAGACCTCAGGGAGGAGGAGGAGAGGGTGAGTCTCTTTGCTTTTTACTTTCAGTCATAACTTATATATCCTTGCCCTTCTTTTTCACAGATTCAGGTATCCAAAAAGTCCAATCTCATATCTTGTTTGCCCATCTTCAGTTTCTGGAATAAAGTTTTGTCTTGTGTAACCATTAGCCAATCAGCAGCCAAGGTAACCCCCCCCCCCCCCCGCACACACCTTATCACCTGAATCTCCTCCTAGAGCACCATTGAGTTCTTTGTAACCAAATATCTCTCAGAGGGGCGTGGGGAGGGGCTCCTTATTTTCATCTAAAGTAACAGACAGAGAATCAGCACTTTGGAAACAGGGCTGAAACAGAGGGGATTATGGGATGCTGCAATGATCTGTTTGGTGTTTCAGCCAATCAGAGACTGGATATATCTGAGACCTGTGATATATTGATGAAAAACAGTATAATAGGGGACCTTTAACTTGGAGGGATCTAACTGTTCAAAAGCAATCGTCTTCAACATCATCTATCTACCATGGACAAAGATTAAAAAGTGGGGCATCCCAAAATGTCCTACAGTTTTTGAGTAAATGCACTTCACAGCATTCACCCTCTAAATATTATGTCTCCTGCAGAGTAAATAGATTGCTCTGTGTGGTGTATAACAAAAGCTTAAACCCTTGCATGCTCAACAGATCTTCCAGATGAACACAGCATTATACAACACACGTAAATTTAAGGAACCTTGCTCACAGGATTCGTTTTTTATTCCTAACAGCCTTAGGGATGAATGCAGAGGCTGCAGTGGGATTCAGATGATGTTGATGCAGCACACAGTCTTTTCTCCATTGTAAATCAAAGTGACAGAGACAGAGGCGAAGGCTCAGGGACACTGAGGCTTACTCTCCTTTCACTTGAATAGCAGATTAATGTGGATCTCCTCGCAATGTTTCTGCAGCACACATTGCTTCATAAAAATCTAACTCCCCCCAAATCCATGCAGTAATTGAAAGTGCCTACACAACATGAAGAAGCATCTTTTTTTGTTCTGGGATTCAGTTTTGTTTTTGCAAAATCCCACAGATATTCTCTCCGTGCAGTTGATTTTAATTGACCTGCTTTCGAAAATGAATATGAAATAAGATCAAGTGAATATGAAATAAACTCATTATGTTATATAACATAATGATTATGGAAATTGTAGCCATGAAGTCTTAATCCGTACAGTAAAATGCGTGTTTACCCAAAACCATATCGACACACCAGCTGACCAGAAAACAAATTAGGAGCTTTAAATGGAAATTAAATGGATTCATATTGTGTGTCGTCTCCATGCTGAAGCTTCATTTAAACAGATGTATTTTAACTGTAGACTCTACATGGCTGATTATAGAGGCGTGTATTTATTTATCCACAGATTTGGTGTTTAAACAAACATTTCACCATGAAAAACAGGATAGAAAATGTGTTACTCCTGAAGGGGAATTTCACAATTCAACATGAGCGAACTTGTCTCATTAAAAAAAAGTTTGAAAACAACTGCATTTAAAAACGATTATTCCCGATTACAGTCTCTGTTTTAAATACTAAACTAAACCTGTAAATTAAAGCAAAACAAAACAAAAATGCAACAAAACCACTTAGAAAAAATATCATGTTCTTTATCATGGTGTATCCTTTAAAGGGGCCCTATCATGGTCATATTTAGGTGTCATATCAGTATGTAGTGTCTCTACTTTAAAGAGTCCTCTCCTGCTGATGTTCAGGTGTATATCAGTATGTAGTGTCTCTACTTTAAAGAGTCCTCTCCTGCTGATGTTCAGGTGTATATCAGTATGTAGTGTCTCTACTTTAAAGAGTCCTCTCCTGCTGATGTTCAGGTGTATATCAGTATGTAGTGCCTCTACTTTAAAGAGTCCTCTCCTGCTGATGTTCAGGTGTATATCAGTATGTAGTGTCTCTACTTTAAAGAGTCCTCTCCTGCTGATTTTCAGGTGTATATCAGTATGTAGTGTCTCTACTTTAAAGAGTCCTCTCCTGCTGATGTTCAGGTGTATATCAGTATGTAGTGTCTCTACTTTAAAGAGTCCTCTCCTGCTGATGTTCAGGTGTATATCAGTATGTAGTGTCTCTACTTTAAGAGTCCTCTCCTGCTGATGTTCAGGTGTATATCAGTATGTAGTGTCTCTACTTTAAAGAGTCCTCTCCAGCTGATGTTCAGGTGTATATCAGTATGTAGTGTCTCTACTTTAAAGAGTCCTCTCCTGCTGATGTTCAGGTGTATATCAGTATGTAGTGCCTCTACTTCATGTCTCCATGCTTTAATGTTCAAAAAGCTCTTTATTTTTCTCATACTGCCTGTGCTGCAGCACCTCTTTTCACCCTCTGTCTGAAACCAGAGCCCAGTCTGCTCTGATTGGTTAGCTGTCCGGCTCTGTTGTGATTGGTCAACCGCTTAGAGATGTCCCGCCCCTTAGCCCTAAGCACCATATTGGCAATTTGAAAAGAAAGCGGTTGAATGTTATGCTAAACCTGTTAGACATGTCTAAATAAGAGGATGGTACTCATTACTTACAGTCTCTGTTCTCTAATGAGGTCTGAAAGTGAGAGCAGAGCCTTTCCACTTGTTGCTGCGTTTAGCTTTCATCTTGCAGGAAGAAGAAATATATTTCTACCTCAGGCTTCTGTTCACACTCACTACACATGTTGCCACAGTCCGTGACAAGTGGAGCAAAAAGAAGCAAATTCAATCTGACAATGTCTCCCTCCTCGAGCCTTTTCATGTCCGCCCTTTGCCTGTGAGACTTCAAAAAAAGCTTTGGAGATGTGGCTGCAGATCATCTGCTCATCGTGCTAATTTAACTCTTGAAAGACGTCTGCAGACCACAGTGTGATTAAAGAAGAGCTTTAGCATTAGCATCCGTCAAAAATGTGTCTCCATCAGTGTTTGTGTGAGAGCTTCAAAGGGAACATCAATCAGGAAAACAAAGCAGATGAAACCAGCTTAAACGTCGTCTCATTTTATCTCAAATTAAGTGTTATCTGTCGCTACACGGCTGGTGAATCTGCAGCTTTAATTACTTGAATCAGAAGAGCAACAGGTGTGATTATGCTTCAGATTCTGGACAGCTGGAAACAGTGTCATAGTGGAGCCAATTAGCCACCTGGAAGTGGTAAAACGAGGTGGTGGCGGTTCATTAGAAGTGAGAACCCAATCTGAACCAGCCCCAAAACGCAAAGTTTTATGGGTATAATGAGGAGGCTGTGTCATTCTTGGCAACTCAGGATAACACAATGAAGGGAGGCTAACCACAATATGACATTTATTTTTATATTCTTAACTACCATGAATATTATGGTAGATGGTAAAAATAAAGTAAAAGTGCCAAACCAAATGCAAAAACCTGCAAAGCAATAAGTAAAACAGAAAAGACATGTCAATAAGATGTGTTTGACTGAAGTGTATTATGTAAGAAAACAGAACAATGTGACCTTAGAAGAGAAGAAACTATATTAAGTATAAAAAATGATTCTATTGATAGGAAAACCTGCCTTTCATTAAGCATATTCAGGCTGTAGCCCAACAATGAAACACTTGAGCACATACTACAGTTTAAAAAAGCAGATATAAAATCTGAGCTGACAGAAAATCCTCCGTTTTAGTTTAAAGGGGACCTATCATGCAAAATGCACTTGTTGATGTCTTTTCTACATAAAGATGTGTCCCCGGTGTGTCAGGGAACTCACGCAGCGTCAGGAAATAAAACCCTCTCTCTTTTCCTCCGTACCCAAATCTCTAAAAACGGGGAACAACGGAGCTGATCCAGATTTGTGTCCGATATGACGTAATATCTGAAATGTGGACCCACGGCCCTATCAGAAACGTTACTATCAGAAACAATGCCCGACTGTTTTGGACGTAATATGGTCGGTGTTTACATTAGCATCGCTAACACTCAGAGCTAACCTGTACTGGAGAGCATGTGTGTGAAGAAGCAGGATATAAAAAGGAACTCACCTCGCCAAATATCCTTATGTTGCCATGTTAGCAAAGCGCTACCTGGCTGTATCTGCTACCTCTGTCCCTAGCGAGAGGGTGTTCTCCACAGCAGGAGACATTGTTAGTGCCAGCAGATCTGCCCTTTCGGCAAGCAATGTTAATTTTTGAAATACAATGACAAGCCTAATGTCCAGCTGGCTGCTTAGGTGAGTACTAGTACAGTACAGTTCAAATACAGATTATTTCAGTTCATCAAAATGCTGCACCTTAATGTTTATTTTATTATAATTTGTATTTATTTGAGTGAATACATTATTCACAGTTTAATAATAATAAAAAAAACCCAAAAAATATTTTATGTTTTGTGATAATTTTTTCTGCTGTACCGAAAACGTACCGAACCGTGACCTAAAAACCGAGGTACGTACCGAACCGAAATGTAAAACTTTTATTTTACACTTGAATAAATGTTTTTGAACTGTGGAAACAAGCTTTAAAACACAGCACATTTTACATTTTTATGGGTAACAAGTTAGCAAACAGTGTCAATTTGCACATCCAGGCAATATGATTCAACATTTGCCATCATCCTGTATACTTTATATCAAGACAAACATAAGGATGACCACACCTTTCACAAACAAATGCAAGGCGCCCACAGCATTTTCCACAAAATGAATGCTGATGCTTTCAGACGTGTGTTTTCCCGCCTAAATTAAATTGCAGGGTGCATCAGGAGGCCAATGCAACCTAAACCCTGCAGGAAGCGGCTATCTGTATGCACTCGGTCACTTGAGCCGGAGGAGAGAGTTCCTGCAGAAAAAATAGTTTTTTTAGAAAGCACTTAGCTGGCTTTCTAATTTAATGTGGCTCTTTGAGAAGCATGCTGTGGTTTTCTCAAGCCCTCTCTCAACAAAAAAATGAGCTTTATTGCATTTCATATTTCATGGTCGCTCGTTGCACTCTCTGGATGAATAGGGGATTACACATCCCAAGTGTTTTGTCGATTTCTTCCCCCAGAATTGCTTACTCTGT